TCCCAATGATACCAAATTTTGCAAGGTGGTTAAAACAAAAAGGGAATGTGAGGAGTTCCAAAAGGATTCCCCAAACTGAATGAACAGGCAGTAGAACGGCAAATGCAGAGGTCAATGAATATGTTGACCCACTATATGGGTCCATTTGGTACTTCCATAGCCTCAACTTTGCTGCTGCTCCATCATCATCCAGCTAAACTGTATCAATGTTTATGTTAATGACAAGGCATATTGTTGATATAATAAACCTTTTTTGGCAGACGTGTGGAGTAAAAATGATTCTAATTTAAAAACCCCCACACATTTCAATATTTGAAAGATGTCCTCCTATAACTGTTGATATGCTTGTCATCCTTATTCCCTCGCTGTTCCCCCATCCCCCTTTAAGCCAATAAGAACTATGGCTAAAAGCTCTAGAAACAAAAAGAGGCATCCTGCCAATACATTCAATATTTTTTATCCAATTTGGGCTCCGAACATCTCAACAAAAGAATTGGAAATGCCTAAAGCTAATGTAGCAAAGCAGGCTTTAATTTTCTCCCCACGTCTCTGCTTTGCTGATGTTTGGCACAACTCTTGTCTGGAGTCACTAACACGCCTTGTCCCTTCTACCCTTAGCATAACGAGTAATCTAAATTTAGATGTTTTTAATGTTTTCAATGCTTTCTTTTTTTGTTGTATTATCTTGCTGTTTTGTTGTTCGCCATCCAGGGCTCCTTTGGGAAGAAGGCTAGGATATAAACAACAGCAGCAACTGGGAAGTACTTCATGACCAATGAATATCACCATCTGGCTCAAACATTTATTTTTCTTAATTTAACCCTCAATTTGCCACTTTGCAAAGATCCAGACCCAGAAGCTCACTTTCCCCCCATTTGTCCTTGAAGGCTGCCTGTTCGTGACAAAGGGATTAACTGACTTATTTACCACAAACAGGAGCCACAGTTTTTCATGCCACCATTTGTGTGGATGGCTAATTTTAAGATGGCTGTATGCTTCAGCACATTGTTGAGGTTAACCAGGGAAGAGCAATGTAGAGAGCTATGCACACATAGGATGTGCGGATTAAGAAGATCCGGGTTTATCGCTCAGTTGAAGGAAGCCATTATCTGATTGTTTCATTGTGTATTTATATTGGGTTGGATCTAGACTTAGGTTGCAAGCCTAACCTCACTTCCTGGGAGTAAGCCCCATTGAATTTCAAAGGAGTTATTTCTAAATACACATAGTAAGGATTGTGCTGTAGGCCATGGCTTTGTGTAGAGCCATTAAAATCAATGGAACTTAAGGCAGTTAGGACTAACTTCCCACTGATTTATGTGAGTCTACCCTGAGCATGGCTCCAATCCATTGTTTTAGTGATAAACACAAGGGTGGTTGAATTATATATCAGGAAATGTCATTCATTAATTAGCTGAATTGTGGTTATATCAACTATAAGTTGATGTCCTGGGATTTTGTTTTGTTTTGTTTTGTTTTTACAGATTTTAGGTCTTGATAGAAGGGACTTGAAGAAGGGGAAACGGTATAATAAAATACAAGTCACATCAATAGAGGACAAAATGAGAGCACCTGCCACTCTGCTAGCTGAAGTTGGTGAAGGGTAGAGAAAATAGAAGAAGGAATGATTGACACTGGCGTACAAACACATATCCTGACAAGGCATAGCAATATAGTTCAAGAGCAAAGTTATAGCCTGTGACGAGATGAAAGGATACAGCCTTTAAAAGTAAAACGCTTTGTGAACATAACCTCCCTGTATAGAGCCACAAGCCTCTGAGGATCAACAGTCTGTTTACCATCCCCCTCAGCTCCCCACTTCTTCCCACACATCCAAATCAAGGCAGAAGACAGGTTCAGACAAGGTCAGAGTGTCTGACTTTCTGGCTAGAGTTGTGCTTTCTTGAAGCTTAATGAAGTGGCGTCAAGGTGCAAAAGATAGACTTTGTTCATAGATTTCCTCCACAATCTTTCTTTAGCCAGTGTTGTGTACCCCAGGTGATATCATTTGCTTCTTAGAAATGGGTTTGATAATGGAGATAATCAATGTAATTAGAATGCATGAAAACTGACATCTTCTCTTGTATATGCAAAACACAGAATCAGAGAATCAGGCCAATACATGTATTTCACTGCTCACATGAGATAGTCTGCTCACTGCTCACATGGAGAGAGCACATCCTTAGAAGCCAAACTTTCATTTAAAAATAAAACAATCTTAGAGTTGGAAGGGTTCCAAGGGTCATCTAGTCCAACCCCCTGCAATGCAGGAATCTCAGCTAAAGCATCCATGACAGGTGGCCATCCAACCTCTGCTTAAAAACCTCAAGGAAGGAAAGTCCACCACCTCTCGTGGGAATCTTGTGAGCATCTCAGTCAGTCAAGGATTTGGAGCTGCTCACATGAAAGTTTACCTCTTTGCTTTGAAATTGGCTTGATTCCCTAAACCACAGTTAAAGCTTCTGAAATCAAGACAAAGTCAAAAAAATACCCATCTACCACATTAATTTATTTACACAGTTCTGGGGACTTTGTAGTTAGCCAATGCTAAGGAGCATCTGGAGGCCACTTCCACCTAATCTTTCCTCATAGGTTTAGCAGTGAAAATATATGCCCAGGCTGATCTCTGACACAACTAAAACTGTGTATGTAACTGATCTCTAGAACAATCTAATCACAGGACACTGACTGCAAATGCTGGAGAAATCCGTGCTTGCTCTTAGGCCTAATACGGTTTGCCAAAAGGCACTGAATATATCAAAAATCATCCTATTTAATTTATGATGTGTGAGTTTCAAATAACCTATATAAAAATTTATGTTGTATATCAGGATGTCCAATCAAGATTGAAATATGTCTGGGGAAGTTCCAAATAAATTGACTCCTTCAGAGTTTTATCCCGGGCTACCATGTGATTGGATTTTATAAGTTTAACATTGTGAAATAACACTTTGGAGAGAGCACAACTGTAATAACTGTCCATACCTTTTATAGGGCTTCTATGCTGCTCCCTTCTACATAAAACAAAAGGGCAGAATCAGTTAATGGCTGTCCTCTGTGTAATGCCAAAACATTACAGCTGGGCTTGTCCAGAAACAAGGGGCTTGGTGGGTTATGTGCACAGTCTTCACACAAATAAGCTCCGACTTGTGCACACAATAAAGAATATAACACTTGAGATGTGAACAGCACGATGACTTGGCATGAGAACGGAAGGCCTCAGCCTTCAGCGAGCAGCCAGGTTAACATCCATGCGTGTGCTACCCCAAATGGCAAAGTCCCAGGCTGAATCTAGACACATTAAAGAAGCGTTTTAGTTTAAAGCGTTCTCAATTTAAACAGGGAAAACATGTAGAGAAAAACGGGACTCCTTGTCGCCATCTGGTGGCACAATGTTATTTGACACATGCAACACATATAAATAGCTTTTTCTAGTTGGGTTCTCAGCGTTAACCAGTCTAGTTGGGTTAACTCAGCGTTAACCAGTCTAGTTGAGTTCTCAGCGTTAACCAGGAGATTTTGCTACACATTTTGAAGCACCGTAAATTTCAGTGATGTAATTTTACTCCTCTTCAGTCTGCGATGGCCTTCAGCATCTCAGTTGTGTATCATGGAGATGTCAGATATGTGTTCAGTTCACCGTAATCTGCAATACATGATGAAAGAGAATGCAGGGGTGACACACCAGCTCCTGAGACTGCAACCCTTAACAAAGATATTTGTTCCAAAGTCATCCGCTTGAAGTCAGGCAACTTGCTACAATTTTTTTTTTTTTTTAAAGGAGGTAGAAGTATGTATGAGCAGATCTGCTGCCAATTTAGTTGGCAGATTCACTGGCAATACTTTTGTTTAGTCACAGTTTATTTGGAAGCCTGACAGCTGACAGAACACAAATACACTTGGAAAAACTGGAGATTTCCATAAATGCTTTCTTGTACCATAAATGCTTTTTTGCAGTTCACTTAGGGTGCTTCCAGATGGGGGCTTAATTTGCAAATGGGATTTTGAGATGTTGCAAATGGGTAGTTGTTAACAGGCTTTCCCCCCCTTAAAAAACAACAACCAAACTTATTGGATTTCCCCCAGAAAGGGTAAATCTGGATTAAATTGAGGTCAGGGAATATAGGGACAGGGAATATAGATGCCAATGATGTGTAGATACTGCAAAAAAACTTGGTAATAATGACTTATTACAAGGTTTTGAAGAAATACATTATAGAGGGCATTTCTTTAAGAAATAATGGAATGTTCCATCTGTTTGATTTTAAAACAATGAAAAAATATTTAACCCTTATAATTACCTCCAAAGATGACCAGCAGAAAGGCAAACAAACTATTACTGATGATATCAGAACTATATTTTTTGGGCGTGGGCTATTGGGTTATTGATTTTATTTTGATTATGTATTTTGTGGTTTTATATTTTGATTTTATTCTGTGAACCACCCTGAGACCTCCAGGTATAGGGCAGTATATAAATTATATAAATAATAAATAAATGCCTGGGGAACTATGATCCCACAACAAACACCCAGCATTGATGATCATAGTTCTGAAAGGGTGGAATGATCCTGGAAGTCTGTGCATCTGTACCTGTCTGTCACCTGGCTCCACCTCCAATATGTACCAGTTTCCTATCCAGTGGCTGCACTGCTGTGCAGTGGAAATAGGTTGTGGAGCAGTCAACAGCTGCTGGAACAAGGGTTCCAGGGAAGAGGGGGAGGCCAGGCTAGAACAGCAGCAACCCAAAAGACCTGGGAACATGGAGGCCTGAACATAGCCAATCTGGAAAAGAGGACAGAGAAACCCTTCCACGCTAGCTGGCCCAAGAGCAAAAACAACTCATGAACACTTTGCCTACCCTGGCTCCACTGAGACTCCCTCTGCCAGGTAAGACAGGAGCTGGAGAACCAATGTGGTTCATTTTTAGAGTGCTGGATTCAAATCTCCACTCAGCCATGAAGCCCACTGGGTGACTTTGGTCCAGACACACTCTCCTAGCCTAACCTACACCACAGTTGGTAAAGCACGAGACTCTTAATCTCAGAGTCATGAATTCAAGCCCCATGTTGGGCGAAAGCATTCTGCGTTGCAGGGGGCTAGACTAGATGGCTCTCATGGTCCCTTCCAATGCTACAATTCTATGATTCTCTATGGCATGCTCCTGCTGCTGTGAGTTCCTGGCACATGCCCTGTAACAGCATCCAGTCAATCCGGCATTGAAGCAGGATTGTCTGTCACACCCAAACACTCCTAGTAGCCACGTTTTCTCAGACGTTTGTCCCATTGATTTCAGTGGGGATTTCTTCCAAGCAAGTAGGTTTAGGATTAATATCTCAATGATAACTACTAAAACATTGCTCTGTGTAGCCACAAAGATAAGGATGGTCTGCTAGCCCCACCCACCTGCCCTTCAACCTGCTGTTCGCACTTGCAATAAACTTGAGGCTACGGCACTTTGTGGGGTATACAGAGTGGGATCTTGGCCCTCAATCCCTTCCTCTCTTCACAAAGTGACCCTCCAGCAAAACTAGTTAAGCTACAAGATAGTCTTCAAATTGGGTGAACTGGATCCCGTGCTTCAGGCTGAAATTAGTATGTTAATATGTGAGAATGGAAAAGCTGAAATTGCAGGAATCATACAGGAGAGAAAGTTACCTACACCATCCAATTTTTACTTTATTTAGATAACCTGGATCTGAGCCACACTTTTAGGAATTCATTTGATCATAGTGACAAGCAATATAAGTTCCTCCGCCCTTTGCCGATTGAGGAAATTACTTGAGGGCTCAAGGATTTGTGGGTGACTCATGCTACAAAAAGTCAAAGATTCGCAATATATAATGGGGCAGGTCTGACAGATGAAAACACTGCGATGACAGCATGTTCCCTCTGTCTCTCGCTCTGTGCCCCTTCCTTTTATCCCTTTGGCAATGAATTATTAGCCAATATCAAATAATTAAAAAGGAAATAATAAAAAAAGGATTTTCCACATGCAGATACATACATGCACAGCTAATTTTGTATTTATATCAGCTCTGCTACTGGAACACTACTGCCATTTTAAAAGAATTGTGTTGATGATGGAAGATTCTTGGCTAATCCCTTGTTGTGGTTATGCAAGTTTATACTGGTTGTATTAGCTCTGACAAGAAAGGCATATAGAATAAAAATAAACAAATAAATATAAAATTGACTGTCATTCCAATGATTCCCTTCATATAAGCTTTTCCTCTCTATAGCATCTTAGTTAATGAAAACATATGTTGATTTCATTCACATTACAGTATAATATTGATGGTGGTGACAAAGCCTGGTAGCCCACAAAGATTAGGGGAAGATGCGTGATCCAAGGAAAATTTCCATTTGGTGTTTTACAAGAGTGGAAGGATTGTCTTTTCTATATTGCTATGAGTTGTTTATGAATGCAAGAGCTACATAACCACAAGCTGATTGGGGCATGGGCTTCTTGACACCCAATGCTCTCTGGTCCAATAGGACAAAAGGGTTGAAGTCTCATTCACAAACAGCTTGTCTACATATCCTCCCATTGGCCTTTGCAGAAGAAACCAGAGTTCCTTATGGACTGAAAGGGCCTTCAGCTTCTCATGTTTTTCCACCAGCAGAACAAAAGGCATATGGTGATATCATCTTCCAAACAGCAGCATATCATAGGAACCCAAGCAACCGTCATGCAATAAAGGTAAGAAAGAAGATTGAGAGAGAGAGGTCAGGATATCAACTAGAGCTAAGAAGATGGACAATGAGGACTCTTTGATGATGACCTGAAATGTGTGGGCAATGCTTATATTCTTGCCTGAAATCATCATAGGCTACACCAGCAGCAAGTGTGAGCATGGAAGAGAAGGTAAGAATTCCATAGCAAGGATGGGGAACTTCTGGCTGGTGGATCAAATTTGGCCCACCAGGACATTTACCCCAAAGTACGGCCAACTGTTAGGCACCTGAGGTCACATGTGATGTCAAGTGTGGGACAGGTAGCAACATGGCTAGAAAGCAAGACCAACACTGTAGGAAGCAATACTGAACTCCTTGAGGTCAGCTGAAGTATTAGAAGGTGTGGTAGATCATGAGTTTTTATATTCTGCTAGCTAAGTTAACTTTGCTGCTTCATTCAGCCATTAATACACCCATGGTTGCTGCCAGGCAGCACTGTAATGATTCAAAATCATTCAGATTTCAAATGGGGTTGAGCAGGTCCAGTGTCAGCATTGTAAATTAACTTGGAAAACAGTGAGCGTAGTTGTCGTTGCAGTCAAGAACAATAAAACAGAAGGTCACATAATAAATTAAGTAGAGAAAGAAGTCAGCAACTCCGATCTACAGGGCAATGCCTCTGATGGTTTTGGTGCTTTTTTGCAGGATGAGGGGAGCAGAAAGAGCATAAATATATAGAGTACAAATAATCTATCAGGGAAAGACCACTGTGGCTCAGTGGTGGAGACAGACAGCAGCAAAATAGACCAACAGTATGGTTTGGTAAAAGGCAACTTCCTCTCTTTGTTAGCCACTTTCCAGATTTAAACAGCCCCCTATAGATAGAGACTAATGTATTGTACAGCTCCCCCACCCTTTAAGCAACCAAATCATTCAATATAATTCAACACACACACCTGCCCCAAACCCAGGTGAATTAATCAAATCCGCATCTGTTTGACCCTCTGTTTGACTGGGGACCCTGACAATGCCAGGAGTTCTGCTTGTGTTGAAGCAAATAGGAGTAGGAGCCATCTGCAGACCTTCCCTTCACACAGGTGTCTGATGGGCCACAAGAGTCTGGGCTGAATCAGGATTGGCTTGATTCAGCAGGCTCTCCTTGTGCTCTTATGTTCTTAATTTAATGCTAGTATGAAACTGGGAGGCTCACCCTCTGATATCATTACAAATAAAAATAGGTAAATTTTCAAAAGGTTATTCCAGCCCTCCTGCCCCTTCACATTTTGCTCAAGAGCTCAGACCATAATCAGGAAATAAATCTAGTTGTCACAACTGTGACAACTCTTTGAGTCAAAGTCTTGAACAGCTTAATTGGGGGGAATGATCCAATTTTAAGATTCATAGGCAGCATGACATCCTTGCACAGTAAATTCTTTCAGGAAAGACCATGAATAAATTGAATACATTTATGGAATAGTGATGGATTTCAGAACATTGCTTGTTAAGACACCATGTACCTTCAAATTCTTCCTTGTAATAACAAAAGAAAACCCATGTTGCAAGACATTTTTAAAGTCCACCCATTTAGATAGCCCTGCGCACATACAAGTAACCTTGTCCATTCAGTTAGCAACTTGCCAATATAATCTTCTCCCAGGCATTTGAGTGATACCTTCTCCTTCCCCTTTGTAGCAGTTGGTGATATATTATATTCCCCTTTGGGGGCTGCCCCTGGTAGTCCAGGAATCTCTGGCCCTCCATAAGTTGAACTTCAGCTCCCCTTGACTCCAGCCAGCATGGCCCATGATCTGAGATGATGGGAGTTGGAGTTCAACAACATCTGGAGAGCAGTAGGTTCCCTGTCCCTGTTTTAAAGCTTTAAGTGAGTGGTGGCTAATCTGTGGCCCTCTAGATGTTGCTGAACTCCAGCTCCCACCATCCCTGACCATGGACCATGCTGACTGGAGATGATGGCAGCTTGAGTTAGCGTCCAACATCTGGCAGTTCACCAATCAGCTACCCCTGATTTTAGTATTGTTAACTTTCATTTTACAGACAGGACCCCAGGTTAGTGGGGCAGTGTCCCCTTCACCCCTAATGGACCAGCCTCCACTGCATATAGTCATCCTAGGGTCTGGCTGTCACTGGGGAAGGGTTGTAGCTCAGTGGTGGAGCATTTGCATTGCATGCAGAAGGCCCTAGGTGGCATCTCTTGTGTATCCAGGCAAGGCTGGGAGAGAATTCTGTCTGAAAGCCAGGAGAGCATCTGCCAGTCAGTGCCAACAGCATGGAGTTAGATAGGCACAAATGCTCTGGCTCTTATGTCCCTGACCTTCATAGTGGAAAACACTGCAGGGAATTGACTTTCCACCGGTTCACGATGAACCTTACTATCTATTACTTATTGGGAACATAAACAGCACAATCCTATGCATGTTGTCTACTCAGGCATAAGCATGCCTTCATTCAGCAGAACTGACTGCCAGGCAAATGTGTATAGGATTGGAACCTAACTAAAACAACATGCAAGATGAAAGCAGTTTCATGCTGACGTCAAGCAAAGTGGGCTGAGTTCATCTGGATTCTTACAGAATTATTTGTCAAGATAATTTTTACGCCCGAGTTTGAGATGAATGCCAGGAATCGTTCCATGGCTCAGAGCAGTATTAAGCGGTAAAACATTAGATCAATGTGGTAAGGAGGGAAAAGCTGGAGAAAGCATTCAGCTTCAAGTAATGGAATCTATACGGAATAGAAGTTAAAAACAGGGATACTGTTTCTGTTTATGCTCTTGTTCTATTCTGTGTAACCTTACCCACCCCACTGTAGTTGCTGCGACTCATGTGTAAAATACATTTTGTATACCGCATCTGTTTCTCTGTCTATGGCTCTAATGCTAAAGGGTCAGGTGGCAGAAGATGGAAAAGACCTCTGCTTGAAACCAGGGATGAGGGAGGAATTTGGTGAATTCCACTTCCAAGGCAGACTCACCTGATCTGCACCTGTCAGACCAATGAGTGAATCAGATGTGGGTGTACTTTGAAATCTGCATTCCTACTGGATTCCATGCAAAGGGGTTCAAGAGCTGCTGACCACCTTCATTTTTTAAAAAAAATAAAAAAATATTCTGCAGATAGTAACTGCCTAGGATTTCAGCCATATTTTCAAGCACACAACCTAGTTGCCCCAGGCAACAGATATTTCAGGGGCCAAATTCCCTTTTAGGTCAGGTGCCAAAGCTAGGTTGGGATCCGGGGCAGTGCAACAACATGGATTGCACTTTTGTACAGTAGGCTGGTTTCTCTGCGCACTCACCTGGTCCCCCTCTGTTCTCTATCCAGGTAAGTGATGGGACACGGGTGCCGCTGTGGTCTAAACCACTGAGCATCTTGGTTTGC